GTCTGCTGAGTGAATATCAACTTGTATTGAGACCTGGGGATGTGTAGGCTGACCTACCCTGAAAAACTGGGACACTTGGGAATCCCACACATTTACCTCCTCGGAGATGGAGGAGAAGGGGAGTGAGTGTGTGTGTGTGTATGTGTTAATTAGGCATTTACATTGAAGTACATTACATCTGTCACATGATAAGCCTCAGAAACTGCTGAAGTATATAAAATCTGTACAAACTAGGCATTAAGCTCTCTGTTAGGAAATGCACGTAGATGTATTTTTCTTTGTTGGCTCTCAAAGTCAGCCTTTACTTTTTGGAATTAATAAATCACTATGAAACAAATTGGAAAGAAAAACAGTCTTGTCATGAACCAGATCCACATGAAGGTAATAAACTCTGGAGTTGCTGAATAATTATAATGCTAAGGATCTTCAAATTATCTTGGTGTCTTTGATTGTTTTATATATTCATATGCATTGAAAGTAAGTGGTTAGATTGCATATGCATTGCATATGAAAGTGGTTTAGTTCCTTGCCTTAAAATAATCTTTAATGCATTCTAAATCCATACTGTGAAAAAATTTGTGTTTCAGCATGCATATTTAATATGCATTGTAAATAATATAGATTTCAACTAGTGATCTGCAGCAGCTGAATGACTCCTGAAGAAGGTTATCTTGATTCTACTGGGTGAAACAGAGCATCTCTAGGAGACCTATGTATATTTTAGGTATAAAGTTATTCATTTTGATATCTTGAAATTATGATTATTTGATATACAGTTTTAATTACAGGGATAACTCAGATTAAGAGTATGGCTAGGCAAGAGAGCATGTTGCTGTCAAATGAATATATGTGCCACTCTCCAGGGTAAAGGAGAGCTAACATAAGCTAGGTAATTTGGGTACTTAAATCTGGTTCAGTGCAGTCCTTCTAAATTGGGTTATCTTCTGCAAAGCAGATATTGACTGTTTTGTGGTACTTATATACAAAACTTTGGGTTACGGATATATTTGTCTTCTGGGGTGTGATGGCAAGCCCTGGCACCAAACCTGGTTTATAAATCCTTCTGAAATACTGACATATAATGTAGAAGGATATCCAAAACAAATCGCTGCTCTTGTTATTGCCTCTTACTGCACTCTGCACCCTGAGAGCTGCTGCAGCCTGGAGCAGTGCTTGGAACCAGTCCAGGCCAAAAATGACTGACTAGTCAGCCCTGATAGACTCCTTGCTTTACTTGCTTATTTGCTGGAAATGTGGTAAAGAAACATGATGCTGTTCCCGTGTAAAGATCTGGCAGGATTTGCTGATTTAGGTGCCTTGCCACGAAGGTGGCTCCTGGACCTAAACTGTTTTTGAAACCAGTGGCTGTTTCTGTGCAGTTTGTTTCTGTATTAATAAACTTGTTGGACTTGAGCTAGTTCTTGTGGTCAGGAGGACTTGTGCAGTAAAATAGTTGTAGTACTTCAAATTGTTTCCAGTTGACTTTGTACCTTAATCCAAAAATAGTTACATGATGTAATAGTGTTCATTCTAATGTTGTTCTGCTAGGACTCCTTTGTTAAATTCAGAGTAGCATGTTAGTAGTTTATTTTTCATAGATCCAGAACTGAGGAGATGGTGATGAGCTGGTTGACTGTTTGTGATTGATTTGGATTTCCAAAGGTGACTGTAATTAGTCTGTAGGTTTTTAATTAAATGGAGGGTCTATAAAGTGCATATTCAGTAGGTTTTAGTGAGTATCTTTTTTGTTGTTGCTGCAATATAATTAGCCCTTATGAAATAGATTTCTTAAAATATAAAACTTTTACAGAAGTGAAACTGCTTTTAGACAATTAAGATGTCTTTTCATGATTTCTAATTGTTTGTATTCTCTAACATTGCAAGCCCCTGGTACTTGCTTGAGATGTATTTCGAGGCACAGGTAGCCCAATATGATTAAAACTTGCAGGATAAACCACTAAGCACTTTTTTTGTCTGCTTTTTGCAGCCTTTGTTGTCCATTCATGCTTGGGATTGCAGAGTCAGTTCAGATATTTATGAAAAAATTGCATGTCTTGAAGAACCTCCTTGGACTTGGTTCCTTGGTTTTGTTGACGTTGTTTTATGTGAACTAAAACAGAGTAGGAGAAATTACACCTCTGAAGTGTTAGCTGTTAGGGGCAATCGTGATTTAAGTGTGTAGGATTGTGTGATTTAAGTCGAGCACTTAAGCAATCCTTGAATTTAAAAATTTGAAACTTGTAGTGCTTGAGGAAGGGGAGTTGCTGGATTCTTTGAACTGCCTAGAAATAGTGCATTGTCAGTCAGCTTCTGCAGAAGAAAAGAAGAAGAATTACTATGTGAACTGGGCAGCAGTTTTGGTAGTAAGCTGAAGGTCTCAGTTGTCTGGTGGTTTCATGTAATGGCTGTTGTTACAGTGTGTGCTAGTGATTACATTTATACTATACTATAAAATCTATAGTATATTTGTGTTACAATATTTGGGATATTCTTCATGAGCCACAAAGCATTGTCAAAGAAATCTAAAAGCTAAGGGGAATTGTTATCATGAATTACTAAGAAGAAACAGATTTCCAGTTTGTATGTGTGCTGAGAAGCCCTCTAGATGGAAGAGCTAACACTGGAACCTGAAAATCTGGAGGTTTTGAACTAGGGCAGTGGAAATGGAGACCTGTTTTTCAAGGGATTTGCTTGGTGCTCTGTGGAGGTGTATCAGGTGCCATGTGAGTTATAGCAGGGTGTGTGCAGGGCTGAACTGGCAGTGAACTAGAGAAGGCACTAACCGTTTGCAGTAAGGTGAGCAAGGAGAAATGGCTTTGCCATGTTACAGGAGGATGTGGGAAAGGAAGAGTCAAAACTCCGAAGAGTTGAATAGCAATGAACCGTTTCAGAAGGGAGCGGGGAAAAAGTGCAGAAGACTGTTTATGTGTATAAAATTAATGCAATATCTTCAATGGCTGCTCTTTGTACTAGTAGGACTGTGTTGGTGTCTCAGTGTGTGGGTGTGGAGTTTCTCTCGTAATACCTAAAAGTAGCTAACCATGTTTAGTTAGTTCTTGCCTACAAGCAAGCTTTTGGTTTTGTAAAACATACATGAATTAAGCTTAAGCTTGAATGACTTTGTTTAGACACGTAAACCACATTGGACTTCAAAACAACTTTAAGCATATAAAATGATTACGAATATAAAAGTATCCAAGGGCCATGCTGTTTCTTGAACTTAGTGCTGCAAGAAGGATGACAGGCTAATCTTGATAGCATTTGGTCAAAATAGATTACTGACTTAGTTGTGGAGGTGTACTTACTAAAAAACATTGAAATCCTGCTGCATGATTGTCTGTGCAAGTTCTTAGGATTTTTTTCTTTTGGTTTTGCTCTGTTTATTGTGTGAGGCTACTGCTGTCGTGGTAAAACAAAACTGTTGTGACTTTACAGAAGCAATAATTCAAATGTGAAATGTGTGGCAATTACAAGAGGTTATTTGAACTCTCATATACTTGAGTATATAGCAAATTCTTATTTAAGAGAAGATATTGAAGAGAGACCTCCAGAAGGAAACTTGAAATTTGGTGGCAAGTTAATGTTCCTTTCTGGGATTAACTTTGTCAAAGTTCAGAAAAAGTCACTAAAACAGAAGAAAAAAATGGTTAATAAGGACGCTTGTTCTTTTGATACATGTTTATTTTATTTACCTGACTACTTATTTCTCATTGTATTGTTCAAAATACCATCTGAAATACTTGTCAGTGTTTCTAGATAATTGTTTTTCTGGCCTTACTTTTTCTGAATGAGAAAATAGTGTATGCAGGTTACTTTACTTGTAACTAGTTTGTTATACTCGACAGCCTTCATACTACTTGCAAATTAAATTCCTTTTCACAAAGAATGAAATTTCATGTTTATAAACAAAAAATATTTTTCTCATATGTCAGTACTCATCTTCTAAAAGAGCACCATTTTTAGACAATGTATTTTTAGTTTCAAATGCTGAAGATGATATCAGATAGTTCATATAATAGCTTTTAAAATTGGTAAGCATTGGAAATATCTAATTGTCATTCTAAACAAGTCTTACTGGCATAGCTAATAATCTTACACAGTTTAGGCAATGGCATGCTTTCTTAAATACATACTGAAAGGGAGCTTGCAAAAAGCAGAATGAGATAAAACTGGTTGTTTGGTTTCTTGGTTGTGTGTATTTTACTACAAAGAAAGTATTCTGAACTCTGAAAGCATGTTCAAGACCAACCTAATTAAACTTTTGTAACTTTTCTTAGAAAAGTTAAGCGTGCATCTAAGTTGTACGTAGACTTTTAACTTCAAACCTAGCTATTTTATTATTCCTGGTAAAATGTTGGAAATGTTTGTCCCTTTTGTATTTAACTAAAAATATTTGGCAAATGCATATAAATAAGGATACAATGGATTAGGAATCAAACATGAGGCTGCTTAAATAATTCTCAGGATTTTCTGGTTCGCGTGTAGTGATATTGAACTCTTTAGTCATAGGCTTTAATTTGTGCATGGTGCTGACCTGATGCTGTGCAGGGACACTCATTGCATCCCTTCATTCAATTCACTCTAATTATCCCCAACTTCCTGGGGAGCCTTCTTAGAACTGGTCATGAATGTTTGTTATTAAGTATTAAGATATTGGACTACCCTGGTTACATGTAACAAAGTAGTTTTTGTCTGAATTTACATATAGATGATCAGTATAGGAAGCTGAAATTATATTTCTCATGATTTTATTTAATCAAATTCAAAATAATGTATTGGAATAATAAAACATTTTGACAGTGACTTAAGCTCAGAGTTAAATGAAATGAGGTTTATTGTGCGAGTACTTGTATGTCAGTGTTGGTAATTTCAGTGTGTATTTTAGAGTGGTTACGGTATGTAAATTATCTTTGAAACAATCAGATTTGTGTGCATGTAACTGGGTGATGGTAATTATTTTTTCTGGGAGCATCTGTTAATGCAGACTATTGCCTCTTCAGGTTCATGTGAAAATGGCGGACGAATCTGTCTGTGTTGGCCCAGCTCCCACCAGCAAAAGCTACCTCAACATGGATGCCATCATGGAAGTCATTAGGAAAACCAGGGCCCAAGCTGTGAGTCTGAATGAGTCTATCTGCTGCAGCTGTTTCATATATAGAAAGCAGAAAAGCCAGAGTTTGTATTTTTTTTTTTTTTTAAAGGTGTAGGGGGGGAAGTGATTGAATATGCTATTCCAGTTAGTTCATGTCACATGAGTTAAATGTGTCTGAAATCGCTACTGGAAATCAAAGGCTTTGTAGCATCTGGCAGCACTGGTGGCTGATCCTGCAGGTGGCTGCTGGATTCAGCTTTCACACCAGGGAGCAGCTTCAGTTCATTTCCAAATTTGCTGGGGGAAAAAAAAAATCCCAATTAGTTTTGAGGGCTAACCCTTTATATGCCATAATGGCTTTTTTGAATGTTTTACAAAGTGTGTCCAGAAAGGCTTTTGCCTAAACTTAGTTTGAATTACTTTCTATGTTATATAAATGTTATTTGAAGGATAGTAAGGTAGATGGTACGACCTGTAATTGTTTTTGATTCAGAATGTTTACAAAATGCACATTAGCTTGTGTGTAAATGTGGGCTAGTCTGCCTTTCTTCTTCCAAATTGGCCAGAGATTCAAAGCTTAGCAGGAATCAGTTGGAAAAACTAATATGTAATTGTGTTCACATGCCTAATGTTCTTTGTTCTGTCAGTGAAATAAATGTATTATTTAGAGGTACTGTACACAGAGCATTTATTAAAATAAAATGTGTTGTTTATATATAAGCAACACTAATTACCCTGGAACAGTTTGATCAGCATTTTAATTTCTTTCAAAGATGATGTTTTGGTGCAGTGCTTTCAGGGGCCAAAATCTTTCCTATAAAGAAAAAATATTTTCTTCCCTTTGAGTTTCTGAATCTGGAACTCTGAATATGGAACTGAATATTGACTCTTTTTAAAAGAGGGGAATAAAAGGGGTCATATTTTTTCTATCAGAGTATTAGATCAAGAACCTTATGTGAATTGTGAGAAGTAAAATGAAAATTTTCCCATGCGCATCTCAAGTAATTACACAGGGTCTGTACTGGGATGTGTGTAGCAAACAGGGATGCTTGACTTGGACAACTGAAGACCTTGTACTGTGTTCTCCAGCAAGGGTCTCTAGAATTTGGAGCGATCTCTTATGACTTTGGACCTATGCACCGCTGTTGTGGTTAGCGCTGGAGATATTTTGGGATTAGGAGTACTTTATAGTGGTTATTGAGAAGAGCGTGGATGAGCATAGGTGTGGAAATCTGCAATGGAGCTAAAAATTTGGACAGAAAGGAGATCACCGTAGTTCATTGCTCTTCTAACAGCCCCTTTCTCCCTAGTAAGGAATGTTTGCTTCAGAAGTGGTAGCTCAACAGCTTAATTTAGGATAGATTAATCAGCGTGTTAAGACAGTTTCATAAGATATTCAACCTATTTAAATGCTTAGTGATCTACTTCACCTTCCCCAGTATCTGAAAAGGTGCTGGCGAGTTTGGTGTCTGGTTTCAGAACTCAATCAGCTTGAAATTTTTATTTATTTTTTTTTGTCTTCCAAGGTACACCCAGGATATGGATTTCTTTCAGAAAATAAGGAATTTGCTAGACGTTTGGTAAGTTATTTCTATTTGCTTGGCTGTGACTGCTGCACTAGGTGGCATATATTCATTCCAAGGTATCTGAGGAATTGGGATAACTTAAATCAGATCTAAAAGATACCATAAGATAGGAGATTTCAGTATGCTTTTTGTGCATGTGGACTTCTTGCACTTTGAGAGTGTTGAGGGTGTAATTGCAGCCTGTGTTTTCTCTTGGGAAAAGAGGATGTGCCTGTTTGTAAGAACTTTATCCAGGATGTAAGAACCTTTTGGCATTTTCACTTATGCCTATACTGTTTATGAGGCTGCTCTGCAAAACTGGGTCACTGAAATCATCTAGGTTAAAAAGTCTGTGGTTTTAAGTGATCATTTTGGCGATTCATAGCACAGCTGGTGAACAGCTGTATCAGCAGCCCTGAGAAGGTGCTGAACTGCACTTCAGGATGGGAATAGAAAGCTGTTTAAAAACTGGCTTCTCTTCTGGTGGTATTTTATCTTGGAGATGCATTCTCTGAAAGGCCCAAAGAGCCAAGAGGGTGCTGTTTTCACTTCATGTCTGAATTTATAAAAATTACTGTTCAAAACCTCTTTAGTTCAGTAGGGTTTTTATATATCACAAACTGATAAATGGTCTTTTTACTGATTTGATTTTTTTCCAAAAGCTTTCATGCAGCTGCTTATAAATGTGAGCATTGCTAGGAGAAAGTTACATGCACAATGTTTAAACAAAGTCCTGAGTGGATACTGTATGTGTAATCACTGCAGATCATAAGTTACTGTCTATTGGCTTTGCTCAAAATAAGGACAAGCACATATTATATTGAAGTTTACAGTAAAAAGCCATTGCAGCTACCAGCTTTGTTACTGAGTAAACAAAACGTATAGCCGAAGAAACATCTTGTTTTACAGGCAGCAAGATAAATTTGTTTCTGCTTTTGAGAATGATTTGCACCTTTTTGATTCAGGGTTAAAAACTTAGATGAAGAAAGTGATTCTAAAGCAATAGCTATTTTGTCTTTAGCATTTGTGGAACAGGTCTTGTTTCCACATATCTTCCTTAACTATGTCCCTTTTGGCTTGAGTTCTATCTGTAATACAGATTCTTACTGTGTAGTTGATTATTTGGTGTTAGAGAGCACCTCCTGCTTATTAAGGAGCCTATTGGAGAATGAAAAAATTTTATACTTCACAGTTGCAGGAATTTTTTTTTTTTTTTTAAGCCCCTAGATAAAATCAAGTGCAGATCCTATGTGATGCTGAATAATCCTGCCAGGTGCTGGTGATGTTTAAGTTGAAAGGAATTCTAAACACTTGGTGTTTGCCAGGATTTACCAGATCTGGGGTAATCTCTTACATGTTATTTTCAAGTTTAGCAGCTTTCTTTTATCGCTATTCTGCTTCACATACCAGAGGCTCTTTTACAGGGACGATTCCTGGCTTAATTGATAACAAACACTGTTCTCACTGGATTAGACCAGCAGGATAACTGGCTTTAGTTGACAGTTCCTGTTTTTTAAATAACAAAAAAGTTAATGAAACAGAAGTGCTTGCATATGCTATTTTGCTTTTTATTTTACTGACAAACTTTGAAATTTGGTAGTTATTACTCTGAACTGGGTGCATATCCTAGTAGTGCGGTTATTTGGTGATGTGATAGTCTGGAACACTACTTTTTGGCAGGATTAAGAAGAAACGGAGGAAGTACAAACATCCTTGTAGATCCCCTCCCCCTTTATATTTCTCATCTTTTCACTTGGAATCTAGGAACAGTTTATGAACAATTTCCTGAAATAATGTGGTGACTAGAAACATGTTTGAGTTTGGGTTGGTGCTACAGTCTCAAAATAGCTTTAATTATGTTTCAGAAACCTGGTGTGTTCAATTCTCTAAAAATATACTAAAACAAGGTAATGCTACTTTGCTTTCTGAAATGCACTATTTAAAGTCTCAAGACATAATTATGCTTCCCTTGTTGTAAGTTGCTCTAGAAGATCAGACCCCTGGTGAGAACTGGTGAAGTGATCTGTCTTTTTATCACTCGGGCTGCTTGTATTTTTTCAAGACGTCCTGATTAATATAGTTAAGAAGAAGACTTTCCTACTGTTTCTTTTCTTTATTAAAGAAGTAACAAATGTTTTTAAGCTGTTGTGAAGTCCCTTTCTTTGTGCTTATACTATTTTGTTCTTTTCTACTCAAAGTAGCGATGCAAGTTGTGAAACCTGGGCTTATTTCCTCGTGTGTACCTGTACTTTTAAACCAAAGTACTTAAATGCAGAAACCAGGAAGTAGGGTAAAATTTCTGAACTTGTCAGTCTATCTGTAAGAGCGGTAATGAGCTCAAAAGAAAGCTTTGTCTTCAGTTAACATGTGGAGGGTCAGTTCACGTGTAATCCCACTTGTGATTTGAACAAAAGCTTGTCTTTTTGTTCATTATTATCTGAATGATTTGTGGAATAGCATACAGCTATAGGCAGTACTTTTGAAGAATTTGATGGATATGTTTAGAGTATTGAAAATTGCTGGTCTTTATTGTTCTTTATCAGAAAAGTAATCAGTGGATGAACATCTGGCATATTGTTCGTTTTGATCCAGTAAGATCCCTCTTCATGTGTATTTATTTTGTTTGCTGTTGATGGCTGACAGAAAAGAGATCCATGGCATTTATATTGAGTGTCAAAGATTTCATAAAGACTGTCAAAGATTCCATAAACATTAAGATAAATTTCCTAAAGATTGGTATTTGAACGTGGAATCTTGTGATGAACTTACAATAATGCTCATAACACTTAAGTGGAATGACAAAACATGGATTTGTGCAAATGTTTCTTAGAATCAGTGTGTAAGTTGGTACTTGTAGTTTATGCATGCAAATGTATTTTCATCTAAGTAATTTCTGTCGTTCAAGGAATAATGCATAACATTCAATACTGTCATAAATGTAAAGGTGACGCTAAAATCTTTTGCCACATTAAAAAAAAAAAATTGCCAGTATCTTTTTCCAGATGCTATGCAGAGCTGCAAGACCAATTCTTCTTTGTGCTTTAGAAGAATTTGCTAGTGATCTCTATATTTAGGTTAGCTTGCTTATTGTTTCCTGTTATAAAATTAATGCAGAGCCTTTCTGAGAAGCACTGTCACCTCTGTTGTCTCTGGCAGGCCTTTGGAATTGGGGAAGGAGAAAGACCTGTGAGACTAAGATGAGCCTTTTGTTTTGGTTGGCCTGTAGTTGAAAGATACAGTTTTCTGAAACTGCCATTTTTCTTTTCTTGCTTGCAGATGTCCAGGGCAGCTGTTTTGGTGGGGGATGGGAGTGCTGAGTCAGATCTCCTCACCTGTTGAATAGTTTGGGATTGACCCATGGTCACAGTGACTCTGTTTCCTTTTTTTTTTTTAAATTTTTTAATATGGGAGAGATAAGAGTGAGAGAAAGGAAGTGTGTAACTGGGTTGCACAGTCATTATTCTAGAGTCAGTGCTGCTTCTTGTGGTCTAGCTGATGTTAGCAGCAAGTAGTTGAGATTATTTATGTTTGTGCTTCCTTGTAATGATTACAAACTTGAACCATGGTCCGTGGTGACTCCGTGTGTCAGTTGGTCACAGTGGGATCGGTTTCTTTTTAATTAAATGAAAAATGCAAATGAACTTCACTTTCCCAACTGCCATGAAAGTCTCTTGGGAAGCTACTGTTAAAAAGAAAACAAACAAAAAATCAGCTAAATAATTCCTTTGCAAAGTATATGAAAAAAACCCAGTTTTCAAGATCATAAACCTTCATAGACATGTGTCCAAGACACTAAAATACTATGATAGGGTTCCTACTTTCATAAAAGGTGGTGCGTTGTGGTGTATTTTCTCCAGGAAAATTATTTAATACTTACATAGAACAATTTCAAAATGATAAGAGTTAAAGCTAAAAACGCGACCTTTATCTGGAATATTCTTTTTTGAGTGTAGCTGTGACAATGTTCTGATGCTCTGTTTCTTGACAAAAAAGTAGCCAGCTACTACTCCCAAAATCTGCTCCTTGCAATAGAAGCCGTAAACGTGGTGGGACAAAAGGATTATATTTTGGAATAAGATATGAACCTTCTTGGCATTCTGAGTGGTACCTGGTTTTATACATCATTTGCACCCTTTTAACACCTACTGTTTGGTGGGACTAAGGGGAGAACAAAGCAGACAGTGCTATTCTTTACAGAGAGGGTAATCAAGCATTGGAACAGCCTACCCAGAGAGGTGGTGGATTCACCATCCCTGGAGGTTTTTAAGCAGAGATTGGATGTGACCCTTAGTGCCATGATATAGTAATTGGAGTTGGATCAAGGGTTGGACTTGATGATCTTGGAGGTCTTTTCCAACCCAATCTATTCTATGATTCTATGATTTCTCTTTACCTTTGAAGCTAGATTAACATTCTTGGTGGAATTAAAAATCCCAGCAACGTATTGTCTGAAATAAATGGTCAAGCAATGTATATGGAAATGGTTGATCGCATGATTGTAAATGACAGCTAAGTTTGAGAAGGAAAAGGTAAGCCAAATGGCCGCTTGTGTCATCTTCTGTAAGGGTACATGTGTCTGGTCTGTGGAGAGCTTTGTGCAAGTGGATCTACAACATATGCACAGCTAATTATGGGAGTCTCAGGTTCGTTTCTTTACAATTGTTGTGCATGGCTGTTATTCGTAAGCAAATTGAAGTTGTAAGTTTGTAAGCAATGAAGTTCCCTTATCGCGATTCAGTGGATGTTACATTTTTGAGAAACATTTGATGTGACTATCATTCATTCATTCATTCATGTGCTGGTTATCATTTGTGCTTCCCAAATTGCAAAGAGGTAGTTCAGAAAAGGCAGTTAGGAAGCTTGGTGTCAAGAAACTGCTTAGGGCAGAGATCGTGTCCTTTAAGGAGTAGGGAAAACAGAGTGTTTAATATGGGATTTGTATGGGAAGACAGAGTGTTTAATTTGGGATTTGTACATTATGCCTTTCTGGACAGAGTTTCATTACCTACCAAAGC